ATTAAGACAAACAAAAATACAACCATCTAAAATTCCAGTACTCCCTCAGGAAGCTGAGAGTTTAAGGCCAGTCTAGGCTATAGAGTCAGGAAGGAAAAAAAAAAGATAAAACTGTCTATTATTAACTAAAACAGCTTTGTTTTACTATGTCTCAAATCTTACTCACAGGCCACTTGTTTCTAACACTTGATGTGTGAAAATATGATGACTTACACCAAATGAAGACACAGATATCTCCAAAAGAAATAATTCAGAAACAATAACCAAAGCCTTACTAGGGGGAAAGTTCATCCTATAAAAATCTCTTCCTTGAAGAAAGTGTTCCTGGAATGTAGGCATTCAAACTACATTTCTACCTGATTTTGAGACAGTGTCCCACTACACAGCCCAGGCTGTCCACACCTCACAGCTCTCCTGCCTCAGTCTCCTAATACACCTCCAAGCCCTGCCAGACCATATTTCTTAAAAAAGCAATAGCTCCCATGAGGAAAGTTCACCTGCTGGCCACCTTGCCAATTTAATTCTAGCATTTCCCATTATCCTTGATACCAATTAACTGTTCTGAGTGACATTTGTTAGGGAATACATCCTTTGTCTCCATAGGATCTCCTCCATGGATGGAGTGCTCTAGGCCCTGGGTTGCATCTGCAGCACTGCACAAAACCAGGCAGAGGAACAGAAATTCAAGGTCATCCTCAGCTACTTGGGTAGTTTGAATCCCTGTCTCAAAAGAAGTTTCTTAAAATTATGAATCTTTTCCTTCAAAATGAAAAATGGTAGAAAGAAATGTTAAGTTAACAACTACTCAAAATTTTTATGAAGGTTTCCTGCAGAGTAATTATGTACTGGACTCAGGGTTAAAAGCAGCAATTTCAAGTATCTTAATCCACCTCATCTTTCTTAACCAAAAAGTAAAACATTTATAAGTAGCCATTAAGAAATCTTGATTTCTCTATACACTGTTTTCAGTAATCTCTGTATTCAGTACATAAAATCTAAATTAAACACCTATATATATTCATTGTTATTTCAGGCCCATACTTAATTAACAAAACAATCTAAACTAACAATTTTAATAAGATCCCACTATTCCAGAATAATCAAGAAAATTGGCATCAGTAATCCAAAATCATGCAAATTATGCTTCAGATCTAAACTTGAGGTCTACAGAGAATTGGGGAATATAGCCCATATTTAGCATAGGTAAAAACTGAGTGAATTCAACAGTGTTAAAAAAGAAAAAATTGACAGGCTGTGGAGATGGCTCAGGGTATAAAACACTTCCTTTGCAAGCTAACAATTTGGATCCCCAGAACCCATATAAGTGCACATACACACAATAAATATGAAGGTAGACTAGACATGGTAGTATATGCCTTTAATCCCAACAGAGGCAGGAGGATTAATCTCTGATTTCATGGCCAGCCAGTCAACATAGGAAGTTGCAGACCAACCAGAGCAACATAGTGAAACACTTGTCAAAAAAGTATAAAGCTATATCAAATCATTCATTCATTCTCTCTCATTCATTCTCATTCTCTCTCTCTCTCTCTCTCTCTCTCTCTCTCTCTCTCTCATTTTTTTTGTTTTTTTTTTTTTTTGTTTTTCAAGACAGGGTTTCTCTGTGTAACAGCCCTAGCTGTCCTCGAACTCACAGAGATCCACCTGCCTCTGCCTCTTGAGTGCTGGTATTAGAGGTGTGTGCACCACCACCCATCAAATCATTCTCTTATGATGTTATTTAATGTGTAAATTGGAGACTAGAGAGATGGCTCAGTGGTTAAGAGCACTGACTGCTCTTCCAGAGGCCTGAGTTCAATTCCCAGCAACCACATGGTGGCTCACAACCATCTATAATGAGATTTGGTGCCCTCTGCTGGCAAGCAGAGCACTCATACATAAAATCTAAACAAATAAATAAAAATTAATGTGTAAATTGTACTGCTATACATAAAATAAATATAGTTTGATAAAAAATAAAATAAAATTTGCTACAAATGGTATTGGAGATATATCTTAGCAGTTAAGAGCAAGAATGATTTTCCAAAGGTCTCAAGTGTAAGTCCAGGCATCCACTTGACAGCTCACATCTGTCTGTAACTCCAGTTCGAAAGGATCTGATGTCCTCTTTTGGACTCTGAGAGCATTGCACACATATAGTGTACAGACATATACACAGGCAAAACACATATAAAAAGAAATTTTATAAACTTTAAAATAAAAAAAATGCTAGAAATAACAAAAAAAAAGGTAAAGATTTCCTTCCTCAGTATCTCACAGAAGCTAGACCTATTTATATTTCCCAGGCCTATTACATACCTAGATGAGTAAAGTAAGTGATTTACAGTCTATAGCATTCAAGTCATAAAGTGAAGATAATAAATGGTATATGAAATATAAATGCATGTAATTAATATAAGTATATAAAAGTAATAAAAGTAATATACTACATTAGTAAGAAAAATAAATTTCATTTTCAATTTTTAATTCTCCCTTTTAAAATATTTCCAAATAAGAAATCAAAATTAGGGTTCAGTGAGTACAGGAGACTACCAGGGAGCCAGACAACCTGAGTTCTAGCTCCAGTTTCCATACTGCAAAGAGAGAGCTGATTCCCACAAATTTTCTCTGGCCTCTACATGAATGTCCTGGCATGCATACACACAAAATAAATAGATGTAATTTTTTAAAGAAATCCAAATTAAATATGCATAATAAAGAGTAAATTGTTTTATTTAGTCTTGTTTTGTAACAAAGTCTTACCAACTAGCTCAGGTGGCCTGAAATTCACTATATAGGCCAGGCTGACCTTGAACTCACAGGTGATCCTCCATCCTCTGCCTCCCAAGTGCTGGGATTGCAGATGTGTGCCACAAGACTACCACACTTAGAAAGTTTATATTCTTATTTAAAATACAGAACTGTTATGTTATATAGGGACTACTTTCATTAGGCTATATTCAAACTGCTAATGGATTAAACTGTAAACTAAAATATAGTGGATATTTACTATCACCTTACAGGTTGGTGCTAATGTTTTTAATGTTTTATAAATTTCCTGAAAGGCTATCTTCTTATTAAACTACACCATCAGAACATATTAAAGCAAGCTCGAGATAAATTATACTGACTTAATATTGAATATAAAGTAGTAATTCTGAAAGTATATTTTAAGCATTTTTAACTGAATGAACAAAAAGTATTAAGACTGGCTACATCTGATATGGTAATTTGAATGAGAATGATCCCCTTAAAGGCTCATATATTGGAATATTTGGTTCCCAGTTGGTGACCAAAATGTTTGGGAAGGATTAGGAGAAGTGACCGCATTAGAGAAGCCTGTCTCTGGGGACAGCCTTGGGATTTCAAAAGCCTCCCACCATCCCCCATATGCTCTCTCAACCTCCTGCGTTTGAGATGTGAGCTCCCAGCTGTTGCTACTGCCATGTCTTTGCTCCATCATCGTGGACTTTAACCCTCTAGAGCCATAAGCTCAGTTAAACACTCTTTTATAAGTTGCTTTGATAATGGTTATACCTAATCCAGTCTTGGCTGGTAAGCAGTTGGTTGTGAAGGACTCAAGATGAGAATGCACCTAACCCATAAAGATATTCCACCACAGGAGAAAATTCCTAAAGATGTATGAATTCCAGACATGTTCCAAGTCCAGTTGCAACAGCTCAAAGCCCCATTTTTCTCACTAGGCTCTGGAACCCCTTTACAAGAAGCATGCAAACAAGGCCATGCTCCAGCCGGAGACTTTGAAGTTTTCCAACCCCACCAAGGATACAGTTATGGTTCCCACTTGTACAAGCATGGGCCAGCAGCAGTGAATGGCATGCTCAAGCTTCAGCAAGCCATAAAAGCTCTGGAACTAGACCCAGGAATGGAGTCAGACCAGTTTTCACTGGATATTAGGACATAAGAGATTAGGCTGTGACCAGTGGTGGAATGGTTCTAGCCACCTTACCTGCTACTTGCTACCTCCTGGTGGCCTTCATGGACTCTAATCCACTGGAACCATAAGCTCAAATAAACTCTCCTCTAACTTGTGTTGGTCAAGGTGTTTTATCACAACAGAAAAGTAACTAAGACAGGGACATTTGACAAACAAATAACCAGTTTTCTTCAGAAAAATGAAGGCAGTAAGAGAAAGTACTGAGGATCTGTCACAAATTTTCAAACACTACCAAAACATAACAATTCGATGTAAAGTGGGACCCTGGAACAGACCCAGGAACAGAAACAAAAAGTTACAGGGAAAAGCTGTATAATTCAAGCCAGATACACAGTTTAGACAGCAATATCACAAAGGTGCTAATATTCTGACTTATTTATAAAAGTACAATCATGTAACATGTTGATATCAGAGGCTGGGTAAAGGACTTACATGAAGTTTCTATAGCTTTTCATTTCAAAATAAAAAAGGCTTTAATGTTAGCCGGGCGATGGTGGCGCACGCCTTTAATCCCAGCACTCGGGAGGCAGAGCCAGGTGGATCTCTGTGAGTTCGAGGCCAGCCTGGTCTCCAAAGCGAGTTCCAGGAAAGGCGTAAAGCTACACAGAGAAACCCTGTCTCGAAAAACCAAAAAAAAAAAAAAAAAAAAAGGCTTTAATGTTACTTTAAAAGGTGATATGGCTCAGTGAGTAAAGACACCTGTCATCAAGCCTGATGTAAGTTTGACCCATGGGGTCCCACACAGGAAAAGAGAGGAATCCTCTCCTGCAACTGTCCTCTGACCTCCAGATGTGTACCACTGCACATGTGTACCCACACATATACACACACAAAATAAAAGGTCATATAAATAAACAAACAAAAATGAAAGGTAAAAAATATGATAACCAGCTATCTAGTAATATATAATAGCTATTAGAGTCGTACCTTCAAATTATTAAATTACACTAAAATACCACTAAAATGCTGGGGCTAGACTACCTGTCTCCAAAATCTGCAACTCTGAAACTTAATCAATAAAATACATTATGGGTCTCATTACCTGTAATTTTATAACCATAGGCAGCCAGCTGTCCAGCCATGTATTCTCCATCTGAATTATTATGTGAGCAGCCCCATGTTCGTATCCAAATTTTCTGTATGCCTGGAATAGTGCTGTTAAGTAATCAATTAAAACAAAGTGAGTATCTTTAAGTGATTTTTTAAAATAAAAACCACTAGATGACAAACTAGAATCAATGATGAACAGTGATGTGGAAGTGTAAGCCTAATAAACCCTTTCCTCCCCAAGTTGCTTTTTGGTCATGGTGCTTTGTCACAGCAATAGAATCCCTAACTAAGACACACTTATACTACACGTCATGCACAAAGACACAACAGTAATAAATAAAATGTTTTAAAATCTAGATAAAATAACCACAGAATCACAAGAAAAATCTCTGTATTTAAAAATGTCCTTTTGGCATCTCTTGTCCGCAAATTCCAATACTGGAATTGGTTATCTCTAGTTGAGTTGTTGGCCAAAAGGGTGCCGTGGGAAACCCCAAACAGCCCAGGCTATTAATTGGCAAACTTACAGTACTACAGATTGCTCTCCACAAGCTTATAGTAAGACTCTATTGCTGTAGACAACACCTACACAACTCACTGACCATGGAGCAGTAGAGCTGGGGCCTACCTAGAGCCTTCACCCCTCCTGACGAACGTTGGCAGCACTGGAAGGGGCTCACACACTCCTGAAGGAGAAAGGTGAACACTAACGCAGCTACCAACTTCAGTCTACAATGGTGACCTGCATACAAGACGGACTAGTGCAATAGTGGCACAGGGTTTGCGGGAAAAACAACGAATACCTGGTTGGATCTATGGCCCACTCCATGGGATGGAACCCATCCCATCACTGTTCAGGTGGCCAAAAACCTGAGAATAGACAGGCCAGGGACCTAGGGGAAGCCAAATACTACTGTTCTACTAAAAGAATGTAGCAATAAAATGACTACTAATGACATTCTGTTGTACTCATAGATCAGTGTCTTTTTGTTTTATCTTACTATGTTTTATTTTATTATCACCCCTTAGAAGCCTGCTTGTTTTCTAATGAGAGACAGAAAGGGGGTGGATCCAGATGGGAAGGGAGGAGGGGAGGAACCAGAAGGAGTAAAGGGAGGGGAAAAAATCAATTTTCAATAAAAGGGGGAGAAATAAAATGGTAAATAAAAAAACAAAACATTTTTTAATTAAAAATAAATAAATAATGTCCTTTTGGACCCATAAGAAGATTCAGCAAGTAAAGGGATCTGCCATCAAGCCTAATGATCTGAGTTCGATCCCAAGATACTTGTTAGAGAAAGAGAACTGACTCCAAGTTGACCCCTGACCCTCACTCACATACACATGTATTTGTGCGCACTCACACAATAAATAAAATGTAATCTTAAAAAATTCTAAATATAAATAAAAATTGTCCTTTCATGCCAGGTGGCACATACCTGTAATCCCAGAACTCAGGAAAGAAAAGTAGGAGGATGATAAGTTGAGGGTCATCACTGAACCAAGCTACAAGAGAGCTTGCCTCAAAAAAAGGTTTTCTCAAGCCGGGCGATAGTGGCACATGCCTTTAATCTCAGCACTCAGAAGGCAGAGGCAAGTGAATCTCTGTGAGTTCAAGGCCAGCCTGGTCTACAGAGTGAGATCTAGGACAGGCTCCAAAGCTACACAGAGAAACCCTGTCTCAAAAAAAAAAGAAGAAAAGTATTTCTCTGGATTGTAGTTTTAATTCCTACTAACCATACCTACTAATGCAACTTTTAGAAAGATACACATAAATGATCAGCCAGAAACTAGCAGAGGCAGCAATACCACCCAGAGAAGAGGTAAGGGCTGCAGAGACTGGTGAAGCCAGTAAAGTACCACCCTGCAAGGATGAGGACCTGAGTTTGGCCTCCCAGCACCCAGATTAAAGTCAGGCGGAGCAGCAGGCATCCAGAACCAGTGCTTGTGGGGAGAGAAGACAGGAGAATCTCTAAAGCACACCAGCCAGCCTAGCCAAATCTACAGCTCCAACTTCAGTGAGAGTCCCTGTCTCAAGAAATAAGGTGGAGAGCAAACACCTGATATAACCTGTAGCATGTGCATGTACACACACACACACACACACACACACACACACACACACACACACTACACATGAGCACACACAATACACATGAACATGCACACACACACACACACACACACACACACACACACACACACACACACACACACAGGCACCTGCACGTTCTCATGAACATATATACACATATACAATACAAAAAAATATATAAATAAAAACAAAGTCTGGTAACCTTCACAGACTCTTAAACACTAGTTGCAATCTTTATCCATTTAAAATTTATAGATTAAAAATGATCAAAATTGAAAACTCCATGATTGAAGTTAGTCCTTTCATAGGTTTCTAAACAATTTATTTAGGAAGGAAAGAAAGACTCTCCCTGAGACTGCCCTAACCATTTCCAAGTAAACAGAAGTGACAGTAAAGACATGCTTGGGATCAATGTGACTAACGTCACTAAAACACAAGCACATTCTAAATGCACAGGCTTGAAAAGCTCATAATCTACACAAAGTAACCATTAAACCTTCCCACACTTCACTGAACAATTACGAGCTAATTCGAACTGTACAACTATGTGTTTTCCAACACAATAATGTAAAAAGGACGATGTTTTGTGCCCAGTACCTTTGTCCAATTCCTGAGTATTCACTAATATGCTAAGAATAATCACATGTCCAAAATACCGCTGTAGCATAAGAATCAAAAGTTTCAATAAAAGTTTTAATTTGCAATTACAACACTTATAACGACTATAGTCAAATCAAAGTGACTCCTAGTGGCCTACCCCTTCCTTCAAAGAACATACAATCTAGAGGTTTGTTTTGTTTTAATTAATTCTTGGAAAATTCCCTACAATGTATTTAGATCATGTTCATCCCCCTAACTCCTAAATCCACTCTCCATCCCCTTGATATTTCTTCCTTTTTAACCTATTACTTACCAAATCTGAAACCATTCAATTTTTAAAAATTATGCTTTCTGCCAGGTGGTGGTGGCACACGCCTTTAATCTCAGCACTCAGGAGGCAGAGGCAGGTGGATCTCTGTGAGTTGGAGGCCAGCCTGGGCTACAGGAAAGGTGTCAAAGCTACACAGAGAAACCCAGTCTCGGGGGAAAAAAAAATTATGTTTTCAATTATAAATATAAAGGTCCTAAAACTGGAGCTACAGCACATATGGTGTGGGCCAGCTATGCCAGCCTCTCCCCTAGTTGGATATGGATATAATTCTGAGAATGCTTACCTGTCGCTTGGTGGTCTGGGCTCCTCTTGCAAATCTTTTTGGGTATTCCGTCTTCGTACTTTAGGAAATACATGCTTTCTTGAGAAATGCCTGTCTTGTGGCTTTGAATCTTCCTGTGACATGATGTCTTCTATGTCATCCAGCAGGGCATCACAGGAGGCAGAAGGCATCTTCTGTAGCACATAAAAAAGTGACAAATAGTTCAGGTTTATTAAAATCTGCTTAGCATTGTACTGGTAAAAAATTCTTACCAACCTTGAATCTAACCAACTCTTTAAAGCCTAAGTTCACAGAAAACGCAAGAGGAGAACCCCAAAGAAACAATGATGCAAGTCCAGCAGACAGTGGAATAGCCCATGACTGACGTGTCACGGCCACAACTAATACCATGGAAGGAAAAGGCGGGCAGGGCCTTCTCAAGAGAAAGGAAGGTGAAAGCCAAGCAACGCCCCTCAGTCACTGCTGTGAGGCCAATGACCACCAAGGCCTCTGGTGCTCTGAGGAAACCTCAAGAGTGGCCTCCTCAAGGAATGGTCTGCCTGACTTTAAGACTGACTGCTGGGCTGGCGAGATGGCACAGCAGATAAGAGAATTTGTTGCTTTGAAGAGGTCCCAGGTTCCATTCCCAGCACCCACATGGAGGCTCACAACAATCATAACTCCAGTTCAAGGAATCTGACACCTTCTGACTTCCTTCAGCACCAGGCACACTTTTGGTGAACATACAGACAGACAAAACACTCATACACACAAAATTATTTTTAGAATATGTCTATATATATATAAATATAAATATATATATATATATATATTTGTATGTCTCACTAGAAAGCTATGCCAGTCAAAACCAGTATTGACAAATGACTAAAAAATATTACTCTAATATCAAAACCAAATAAAGATACACACAAAAAGGAAAACTACCAGCCAATATCCCTGACAAATACAGATGTTAAAATCATTAATAAAATACTTGCAAAACAAGCATAGGTATATATCAAAAAAATCAAGTTAGCTTTATCCCAATGATTTAGAAAAATGTAATATATCATATAAATGAACTTAAAGATAAAAAACCACATGATCGCCGGGCAGTGGTGGTGCACGCCTTTAATCCCAACACTTAGGAGGCAGAGCCAAGAGGATCTCTGTGAGTTCGAGGCCAGCCTGGTCTACAGAGCAAAAACTAAAAATAAATAAATAAATAGATAGATAAATAAATAAGTTTAAAAAAAATAAAAAACAACATGATCATCTCAACAGATCCACAAAAAGCCTTTGACAAAAATCTAACATGCCTTCATGATAAAAAGTCCTAGAGAAAGAGATACAAAGATAGTTTGGCAGATAAGGAAACATGTTGCTCTTGCAGAGGGACCTGGGTTCCATTCCCAGCATCCACACGGTGGCTCACAACCATCTATAACTCCAATTCCAAGACGATGCCTTCTTCTGAACTTCAAGGTCATCAGGCATATATGTGGTACACAAACATACATTCAGGCAAAACATTCATACATATAAAATAAAGTAAATCTTTTTAATTTTTTCTTAAACTCAAAAAGAGAATAGGGCTAGAGGAAACATATCTCAATATAATCAAGGCCATCACAAACCCACAGCTACCATTATTCTAAATGGAAAAGAACTCAAAGCAACCTCATTAAAATCAAAAATCAAGAGAGGGCTGTCCACTATCTCCCTTCCTTTTCGGTACAGAGCTTGAAGTGCTAGCTAGGGTGATAAGGCAAGAGAAGGGAATTAAAGGGATGTAAAGAGAAAAAGAATCAGTCAACACACTCCTATTTGTAAGGATATGATATTATATATAAAAGATCCCAAAAATTCTACCAGAAAACTTTTAGAAATGACATACTTTCAGTAAAGTTGCAGGATACAAAAAATCAACTAATAAAAATCAGTAGTGCTGTGGGATGGTCTGTATGTCAAGTGTGTTGCTGATTGGTCAATAAATAAATCACTGATTGGCCAGTGGCCAGGCAGGAAGTATAGGCGGGACAAGGAGGAGAATAAAGCTGGGAAGTGGAAGGCTGAGTCAGAGAGACACTGCCAGCCGCCCGCGATGACAAGCAGCATGTGAAGATGCTGGTAAGCCACGAGCCACATGGCAAGGTATAGATTAATAGAAATGGATTAATTTAAGCTGTAAGAACAGTTAGTAAGAACAAGCCTGCCATGGCCATACAGTTTGTAAGCAATATAAGTCTCTGTGTTTACTTGGTCAGGTCTGAGTAGCTGTGGGACTGGCAGGTGAGAGAGATTTGTCCTGACTGTGGGCAAGGCAGGAAAACTCTAGCTACACAGTAGTCTTTCTTTCTTTCTTTCTTTCTTTTTTTTTGGGGGGGGAAGGTTCGAGACAGGGGGTTTCTCTGTGTAGTTTTGGTGCCTTTCCTGGATCTTGCTGTAGACCAGGCTGGCCTCGAACTCACAGAGATCTGCCTGGCTCTGCCTCCCGAGTGCTGTGCTGGGGTTAAAGGCGTGCGCCACTAATGCTGCCCAACCTAAAAATCAGTAGTCTTTCTATATATCAATAACATATTTGCTCAGAAAAAGATCATGGAAATACTCCCATTCACAATAGCCTCTAAAAAGAAATAAAATATCTAACCAAGGAACTGAAAGACCTCTACAATGAAAACTTTAAACCTCTGAAGAAAAAAATTCAGGAAGACATAACCAAATAGAAAGGCTTCCCAATGTTCATGAGATTGGTAGAATTAGTATATGTACTGACAAAGTGAGCACAGATTGGCAGAATTAATACTATAAAAATAGTCATCTTACCAAAAGCAATTGACAGATTCACTTCAATCCCAATCAAAATACCCAAGACAGTGTCACAAAATTAGAAAAAATAAATCCTAAAATTCACACAGAACCACAAAAGACCATGAATACCCAAAGCAATCCTGAGAAAGAAGGAAGAGAGGGAGGGGGGAGGAAGGAAGGAAGGGAGGGAAGGAGGGAGGGAGGGACGGACGGACGGACAGACAGACAGAGGGAGGGACTACCAATCCAGATTTTAAGATATATTATAGATACTAGCACAAAAGCAGATACATAGATCAATGGAATGAAACAGAAGACCCAACCACAATGCATGTACCTTCAGTCACCTGATATTTGACAAAGATGCCAAAAATACACTCTTGAGAAAAGATAGCATCTCTAACAAATGGTGCTTGGAAAACTGGATGACCACATGTAGAAGAATGAAATTAGACCCTTATTATTCTGCACAGAAATCAACTCCAAATGGATCAAAGACCTCAGTGCAAAATCTGAAACTGCTAGAAGAAAACATAAGCATTATTATATAATATATAAATGTATGAAAGGACTTTTGGAATAGGAGTCCACTCAGTAATTAGGAAATAATTGACAAATGGACCTCATAAAACTAAAAACTATGGTGATATTTTATTTGTGCTGAAATGTGATTTTATTTGTATGTTAATAAATAAAGTTGCCTGGGGGTCAGAGCTAATTGCAAGCCATTTAGCAAAAGTCTGGCAGTAGTAGCACATGCCCTTAATCCCATCACATTGCAGACAGAGTCTGTGTGTTCAAGGACATAGCCAGGTTGGTGACACATGCCTTTAATCCAAGTACCAACCATAGAGACCTGGAGGTCTGTATAGACAGGCAGTGACAAAGAAGTCATGTGGTTGGGTTTAGAACCAATGAGAAGGCAGAACAGAAAGTCAATAAAAAATACACACACACACAGGAAGTAGCTCTCTTTCTCAAGGGAAGGATGGCAGCGGCTGATAAGCTAAAGGCTATTCGCTAGTGCTCTGACCTCTTAGGCTTTTGACTCTTTATTTGGCTCTGTGTTTCTTATTTAATAAGACTGTTTAGAATTACATCTACAATAAACCTTTTGTAAAGCAAAGGAAACAATCACCAAGTGAAGAGGAAACCCACAGAGTGAGAAAGAATCTTTGCTAACTAAACATCTGGTCAAGGGTTAATGTCCAGACCATACAAAACAATCAAAAGAAAATTAATCAAGAAAACAACCAAATTTAAGGATGGGATACAGATCTAAACACAGTTCTCAAAAGATGAAACAAAAATGGCTAAGCTATATTTCAAAAGTGTTCAACAACCCCAAAAATCCAGGAAATGCAAAATGAAACTACTCTGAAATTTCATCTCACCCAAGTCAGAACCACTAAGATCAAGAAAACAAATGACAACAAAGGCGGGCATTGGGGAAGATGCTGATGAGGGTATGGGGGATGCTCACTCACTTTCGGAGGGATTGCAAACTAACACAGTCATTACGGAAATCAGTGTGAAGAATTCTCAAAACACTAACAGCAGTTCTACCACATGACTCAGCTATACTACTCCTGGGAAACTGCTCAAAGAACTCGACATCCTACTTTACAGATACTTGCTCAGCCATGTTCACTGACTCTAGGCTTGGTTTGGGGGATTTTGTTTTGTTGTTGTTTGATTGGTGGTTTGGTTGTTTTGCTGGTTGGTTGGTTGGTTGGCTTGGTTTTTGTTTTGTTTTTTGTTTTTTGTTTTTCAAGACAGGGTTTCTCTGTGTAGTTTTGGTGCCTGTCCTGGATCTCGCTCTGTAGACCAGGCTGGCCTCGAACTCACAGAGATCCACTTGGCTCTGCCTCCTGAGTGGATTAAAGGCGTGTGCCCGGCTGGTTTGGCTTTTTTGAGGCAGGATCTCACTATGTAGCTCACTATGTAGACCAGGCTAGCCCCAAACTCACAGAGATCTGCTGCCTCTGCCTCCCAGGTGCTGAGATTAAATGTGTGCACCACTACACCCAGCTTGATTCTCTAGTTATAATACCTAGGAAATAGAAACAACTTAAATGTCCTTCAACTGATGACTAAATAATGAAAATATGGTACATATATACTACATAATAACATTCAGCACTTAAAAAAGAAAAAAAAAGAAACCATGAAATTTGTGGGTAACTGGATAGAACTAGAAAATATTGAGTGAGAAACCCAGACCTAAGGAACTGAAATATCTCTACAGTGATAACAATGTTTCATGTTCTCTCATCTGTGGCTCCTAGATCCAAATCCTCAGTTGTGAGTATACAACTTGAACTAATCATAGAAACCAGGTTCAACTCCCAGTACCCACATGGAGACTCACAACCATCTGTAA